GGGCGTGGTGGTGCACACCTTTAATCCCAGCACTTGGGAGGCAGAGGCAGGCGGATCTTTGTGAGTTCAAGGCCAGCCTGGTCTACATAGTGAGTTCTAGGACAGCTGGGGCTACAAGAAGACCCTGTCTCAAAAAGACAAAGAAAAGAAAATTATTTTCTGCACCTTTATCTTGTAGGGTACAGCACACACAGAGTCAGAGTTTCACAGTTTCACTGTATATAGGCCCTGGCTGGCCTAGAACTTGCTAGGTAGACTGGCCTTGAACTCACAGAGATCTGCCTGTGTCATCATGCCTGGCCAAGAGGTTTTATTTATTAAAAATTTTTAATTGAATTTTTGGGAATTTCAGACAATATGTTTTGATTATATTTAGGCCTCCTCCCCCAGAGATTTTATTTTTTTGATGGGTGTTGCAATCTGATCTTTAATGAGGTTGGGCTTAAGTTACCTTCCTGCCTCAGCCTCCTGAGTATCTAAATGATAGGCATGTGTTTCTGTGCCTAGCCCTTTGAAGGCAGGTTTAGATGCAATGAGGAGGGCAGCAACTGGATGAGGTGGGCTGGTACCTTTTGGGTAGAAGGGAGCTCAAAGGACGTCAGGCTTTCTGGAGTGTTATTGGGAGGAACTCTTACCTGGGTCTTCCAGATCCTGACTGTCCCTTCTTGACCTCAGGGTGAAGAAAATCTTCTACCAGAATCTGCCCCTTTCCACAGCATTCTTCCATTTCCTCTACAGTGTGTAAAATGGGGACTTCAGGTGTGTATAGGGGAACTTCAGAGTGGTAGGGGCAGGTGTGGCACTGTAGAGGGCAGGTATGGCACTGAAGGGAGCAGATATGGCCCAGAAGTTTGCCTTGTGCAGGGTCTGGGGCATGACAAGCATGGGAGCCTTTGTCCATGTTATAAGCCTCCTTTGTATATATAGTGGGGTTAAATTTATACTGTGCATCTCTAATGGGCAAACATTTGCTGTATTTTCTGTTGCTGATTTCTTTTGTTCCTGGGTCTCTTGGTCCATTCTTGACGGGAAAATTGTAAACATTCTTCTGACTCAGTTGGCTCTGATATGTCGCTGAGGAAACTGGTCACATCAAGATGCCAATTGGGGGCTGTTTGTCCATCTGCCTTACACTTTCCTCTCTCTTCCTTCTCCAAAACAGTGTTGTGGCTATGGGGAAAGGTCTCTGGCCCTTGGGTCCTGGGCTACTTCTCTAGTGGCCACTGTAGAGTTTCAGGCCTCTTCTGGTACCCTGGGTAGCTATCTGGTGTCATGGCCATGAGTGGAGCCCTGCAGATAAGAGTAACCTAGTGGGTCACATTTGTCATCTACGCAGTCTCTCACAGATTATGATCCCTTGGTAGTTGTGGTGGAGCTCCCGAGTGGCCTTTGGCTTTCCCTGCTTTGGCACTAGACTGCTCTCTAGGGTCAGGACCAACTCAGCATGCCCTTTCTCAGTGTCTCACCTAATCCTGTCTTTCTTGATAAGGGAGCTGGGTTTTGAAGGTTGCTAAAAATATGATTTGAAGCTTAAAACTGGGCACTTTGTTTTTTGAAAGTCTACTTCTAGTCTCAAGGACATGGATGTAAGTGTCAAGAGCCCAAGCTGCTGAGGTCAAAGCTAAGTAGGAAAGGGTTGTCATGTGTTATTCTGGGCTGTGTCAGCCCTGTTGCATGCACCTAAACCATGATGTATGGGTTACCCAGATGCTGGGTCTGGGCTGGTATTAGGGGCCAGCTCTCTAGGGCCCAGCAGTGATTGAGGGTGTGGGATATAGGAGACATTTGGTGGAGGCTCCTAGTCCCACTGAGAGACAGCCTCCTTTCAGAGGTTCAGGCCTCCTGTTGCCCCACAGAGGGTCCTGACTGTACCTCTGGTTTAGGGTGTAGTAATGCTTGGGTGGGGGTGTGGTTTACCTACATCCATCACTAATGGATGGCTCTGGGCAGAATGCTGTCATGGTTTTGTTGTCTTTGGCACCTGTCACCATCTTTCATATGTTACTTTGTCCTTGGTACCTGGTTCTTGCTGCTGTGTGCCTGTGGGCTTGGATTGGGCTGGGGCACTGAGGGGCCTGGAGAGACTCAAGGTCTTGTGCCGAAGTCAGGACCTTCATATGTGGAAGCAAAATCAAATGCTATGGGCATAAGCACTGCTTGGATCTAAGAGTGGATATTAGAGCCTTCTGGATGAAAAGGCTGGGTCATGCAGGAAACTGCTGCTCCCAGAGGGAGTCCTAGGCATGTTGCCTGAGCCATCCATTTGCCTTCTGCTCTGCTGCAGACCTAGATAGGGGTCCACAGAGCCAAACCACAACCAATCCAGGAAGGTGTTAACACTCTACCCTATAGCCTGTCATGCTCCTGGCAATTCTCCAGCCTAAAGGAGGTAGGCATAGGCCTTGGCTTTCCAGGGTCCCAAGCTCAGAGCATATGATGCCAGAAGGGTGTATAGAGTTGGGGAGACAGCCATCTGCTTGCCTGTCTCAGGAGGACTGAGCTCCTGTGTGCTACATCAAGCCAGCTCCTCCAGACTCTGAAGGTGCAGCAGTGATGATTATATCTTGTGCTTCTGTAGGGAGTGCCACTCCTCAGCCCTCCCAGGAAATACCCAGAGCCCTAAGCCACAGAGCTTTGGCCTTTCCCGTGTCTAGTAGGGCCCAATATCTACCAAGGGATGTGTTTACTTTTCTCTTATTCTGGGAAGGCAACAGACTCAGTTCCTAAACCCTGAATCAGCCAGATGCATCATGTCTATTTAGGGGAAAATGAACTAAGGCTCTGGGACAGATTTTTGACTGGGCATGAAACTTCTAACAGGGGGACAATTATGCATTGGTCATAAGCCACATGGATGGAGCCAACAGGCTGCTCCTTACCCTCTCTGCTCTAGCCCTGTAGGGTGAGGCCTCCACAATCAGGATCCTAACACAGGCCTCCCCTTTCTCGCCCCTTTCTGGAGAAAAGGGTGTGACAGGCATCCTGGTCTACCCTCTATCCTCATGCCCTTAAAGGGCCAGCACTGGTAAGTGATCATGATCAGGAAGAGTGTCTTTTTTCTGTGCCTTCCTGAGGTGCCTTCCCTACTGAGACTGAAAGGGGCGTCTTGACTTTCCAAACTTTGAATGATCAGGTGTGGGGAGAGTGGTGGAACTGTTAGCAAGTAGCTTGTCTGCCTCCAAACTTTTTTGGCTTCAGGATCATCAGGATGGAGGCTCACTGAAAGACTATAAGAAGTCTTACCTCTTGCTACTCCCTGCCTTCATCTTTCCACTGTTCCTAGGAAGAAAAGAACTGAAACCAGAGCTGTCAAGACAATCAAGAGCTAGAGGTGGTCATGCTTCAGCAGCTGTAGCCTGTGAAGCATACTAATATTTCCATTATCTTGTGGGATGGTCTTGAGGGAGTGATGGGTGGACCAGAATGTGTCTCTCTTCCTAGAGTTGCCCAAACAAAGTACCAAAAACTGGGTGTTTAGAACCATAGGTTTCTCATCTCTCTGCTCTGAGGTTCAGGGGTCTGGAATGGAGGTGTCAACAAGGCTATGCTCCTTCTAGAGGGAAGGGTTTGTTTCAAACCTTGCTTCATTTTAATTTCCTTTTGTACAACTTCTTCCAGATTAGGAAAAAATACTAACTTAATGGAGGGTTAGAATCTGGCTTATATTCCTGCATATAAGTGTAGATTATGATCCTGTGGTCAGAAGCTTAGACTGGTACTGGTTGTGCAGTTCAGTCTTAAGGCAGTTCTAAGTTAAATTTACTGCTGGGAATTATGTGCTCAGCTTCCAGGCTCCTGGCGTGGCCACCTCCTCCCACCGTCCTTAACGACAAACCAAGACAATTTGCCTCCAAACTACCGTTTAGGGAACAAAAGGATTTATTGGACTTGCTAACAGAGCACAGGGTGGTGGTGAGGGGGTACTTACAAAGGTGCGGGCACCCTTGGGCTTTTTTCCCTATATCCTGGCAGCAGCTTCCTGACCTGCTGCTGGCATTCCAAGATGGTGAAGCTCATCCCCACTATCTGACTTCCCCTGTCCCTACCCTTAGTCCCTCCCCCTCATGCAGTTAAGGCTGACTGATTGGGTGGGAGGGGTGACTGACTCCCTCTGCCCCTCCCCTCCTACAGAGGGTGTTATAGTCCAATTAGTTTGAGGTGAATTAAGCAAGTGGGTGGGAAGCTAGAAAAGAAGGCATCGATCTGTCCATTGGTTGCCACTTGGAGGACAAGCTCATCCAACAGCAGTGATCCAACAGGAACCCTCTTGCAGATTTTTGAAGGGTAGCTATGGGAACTATGGCAGTGTGGGAATGATTTCTGAAGATAGAACATTGTTTTATAAGATGGCCAAATTACTGCTTGGTGCACATGGTGAGCAGGCAAGAATGAGGAAGTGCAACAGTGTGGGGTCAGAACTAGTTCCCTGTGAGTGCTCACACTGCTGAGCCTAGGGTATCTGTTGGCTCACAGGATCATCCGTGGAATGATGGTCTAATTAGAACAGAACCTTCCTCTGTAGGGAGAACTAGAGCCTCTCTCCAGTTCAGTCCCTGCCTCACCTGTACTGGCATTGGGGGATTTTAAAACAATGACAAGGCTCTTTGGAATAAATGAGCTCAGTGCTCACAAAATAAACATTTCTCAGATATGTAAGATTTCCAGTTTGTTAACAAGCTATCAATTATTTTAAATTTATCTTTTAATAATCCCTTTTGTAAAGATAGGCATATACCTACATAATGCATCTATCATTCTCTTTTTGATCCTAAGGCTTACCAGTAGAGTGTGTATTTCAGCTAATGTAAATAAAAGCAAAAGTTTGTGTATTTTGTGGGCAATGGGATGATCTGTGAAAACAATTATAGAGTAAAACTTTACAGATGGTAATTCAAGATCCAGAAATCTAGGGCTTCTTATTATACTCTTGTAATATCTTTCCTATGACCATCATGATCCAGTAACTATAAAAAGAAATGAATAATAACTGACAATAATAGTTGTCTCCAAATATTTAAAAGTATAACATTGGGAAAACAGTTACTAGACAGGACATTCCACTACTTGTCTATGTGTATCACAAATATCTATTACATAGAACCTTGAGTAATGATGGAAAGGTTTAGTGTGACAATTCACTCAAAACACAACAGCAACAGCTCATTAGGAATATTCACTTTTACTTAATGAAAATGTACATAATCTGAATAAAGCATTTCAAAATCCTCTGTTTGGTTTCTGTAATAATACAGATTACAAATTCTTGGGAGTAAGTTTTGTTCCTTAGATATAATGATCTATGTGAATGTGGTGTTTTCTCTGGTGTCTAAAACCAAGGCTATTGAGAAACTTCAGATATGTAATGAAATGATACCATTTTTGGAAGGGAACTGTCTGCACAATCCTCTGATGTCCATGAGGACTCATTTCTATATAAACTAATGATATCTAGCAAATTTTAAGCAATGAGTCTTGCTGGGCTAGGGATGTAGGTCAAAGGTAGAGTGCTTATCTAGCAGGTGAGGCTATAGCTAGTCCTGTTAAAAAAAACAAAAAACAAAACCCAACAAAACCAAAACCTCATTTCCCTATTTTCTATATTCCAAGAGCAAATATTTTAGGTTTAAAGTCTCATGAAAGGCTTTCTACACTCCTTACATCTGCAAAGAGTTTTTCTCCTGTAATTATATTTTGCTATTCTCTCATGCATACATTTAAGACAAAGGTCTTTTAACAGTTACTGTATCTACAATGTTTCTCTCCAGTATGAATTTCCTGATGTCAAAAAGGTTTTCACTTTTATTAAAAGGTTTTGGCACATTCCTAACATTTGCAGGGTTTCTTTGCAGTATAAATTTTGTAATGTTTTGTAAAATTTGAGCACTGGTTAAAGCTTTTGCAACATTCCTAACATTTATAGGATTTTCCTCCAGTGTGAATTCTGTAATGTTTTCTAAGGATTGAACACTGGCTAAAGGACTTTTCACATTCTTTACATTTGTAGGGTTTCTCTCCAGTGTGAATTCTCTGGTGTCTAGTAAATGATGAACAATGCCTAAAGGCTTTGCCACATTTTTCACATTTGTAGGGTTTCTCTCCAGTATGAATTCTTTGGTGTTGAGTAAGAAGTGAGCAATGGCTAAAAGCTTTACTACATTGTTCACATTTGTATGGTTTTTCTCCTGTGTGAATTTTGTGGTGTTTAGTAAAGGATGAATAATACTTAAAGGCTTTATCACATTTGTTACACTTGTAGGGTTTCTCTCCAGTATGAATTCTCTGGTGACTTGTAAAGGTCGAGCAATGTCTAAAGGCTTTGCCACATTCATTACATTTGTAGGGTTTTTCTCCAGTATGAACTTTCAAGTGTTGAGCAAGCTGTGAACTGTCATTAAAGGCTTTGCAACATTCTCTACATTTGTAGGGTTTGACTTCTGTATGACTTCTCTGGTGCTTATTAAAGGATGAACAATATTTAAAGGCCTTGCCACATTCTTCACATTTGTAGGGTTTTTCTCCTGTGTGAGTTCTCTGGTGTTTTCTAAGGCTTGAACAATGGTTAAAGGTCTTCCCACATTCTTCACATCTGTAGGGCTTCTCGCCACTATGAATTCTGTGATGTTGTTTAAGGCCTGACCAGTGGGTAAAGGCTTTGTCACATTCTTTACATTTGTAGGGTTTTTCTCCAGTATGAACTCTCTGGTGTTGAGTAAAGTGTGAAAAATGGTTAAAGGCTTTGTCACATTCTTTGCATCTGTAGGGTTTCTCTCCTGTATGAATTCTCTGGTGTCTAGTAAAGGTTGAACAATAGTCAAAGGCTTTGTCACATTCTTTACATCTGTAGGGTTTCTCTCCTGTGTGAATTCTGTGATGTTGTCTAAGGCTTGTCCAGTAGGTAAAGGACTTAGCACATTCTTTACATCTATATGGCTTCCCTCCAGCATGAATTCTCTGATGTTCAATAAGGGTTGATCCACGGCTAAAGGCTTTGCCACATTCTTTACATCTGTAGGGTTTCTCTCCTGTGTGAATTCTCTGGTGCCTGGTAAAGGCTGAACAGTAGTTAAAGACTTTGCCACATTCATTGCATTTGTAGGGTTTCTCTCCATGATGAACTCTATGTTTAAGAGGGTTTGAGTTTTGAGTAAATACGGCTGTGTCACAACCTACATTCTTGCAAGGCTTATTCTGAGAATGGGTCCATTGATGAGCAGTAATTTTTAATTGTTGATGAAAGATTTCATATTTGCAGAGGTTCTTTGGAAAATTAGTATACTGATGTTTACTATGATTTGAATCATTGTCAAGATTGTTATGAGTTTTGTTACACTGATAAGTATTTTCTCCAATATAAATATTCCTGAAATTATTTGAGGTAGATCCTTTAATAAAGGTATTCCTACTTTCTTTACATGCATATTGGATTTTCCAAGTATTTATATCTGGATTTTGATCAAATAATAATGGATGCATACCAAATATCCCACATTTATTACAGCTGTTTATCTGGGCACAGGAAAGACCTGTGTATTGACTGCAGACTAACAAGCTCTTCTTAAGAGAACTTGTTAATTGATCACATGTAGACTTTTGTTCTTTGTTTTTAAATCTCTTGTCTATAGAAACGTTTGAGTGAAAGATTATCCCAGTGGCACATTTGAAATTGTTCAAATTATTAAATGAAGCATGGACTGGGTCTGTTTTCAGATTTCCCAAATTCCCTTTTATAGGGAAGGTATGTTTCAAAAACTGCTGTGGATATTGACTTCTGTAAACATACGGCCTATCAAACTGAACTGGCCTGACATAAGTTTTCTCAGATGTTTTCTGTTCTTGATCTCTACTGGCAGTGACATTTTCATTATTATTAGTGATCACACATTGGTTATGTCCATCATGACAGGCTTTTTGACTTTCATTTTCACCCACACTTTCCCATTCTTCCCTTAAGTGTAAACTGTCAAGGCCACAGTTTCCAGGTTTTCCACTGATCACTTTTTGGAATGAATATTTTATGTTCTGTTCTGGTGAAAAGCCTTGGGTATAGTGAGGAGACATGGCTGAAAGAAACCAAAGCATAAATTATCCCACTCAGTAGACTCTGATGAATATGGCTTATAAATATAATATATAAAAATACACCAAGTCTGGAATAACATCAGAAGAGTCGAAAGTCAAGGCCCTCATTACTTGAGTGGTATATGAACTTTAAAACAACATACTGACTAAATTGACTTTGAGAACTTCCAAGACTAATGAAAAGTTCACAGTGTCCCAGGTGAGCACAAAGTTAAGGACAGTTCTATAGTAGAGGAAGGAAAGTTTGTTACTTTTGACAACCAGAGCTTGACCTTCTCTCTTCCTCAGGAGAAAAACAAAAGAGAAAGGCACATGTACACATTTCTAGCTTTCTTAGGGGCTGGCTAAAACTATCCCAACACAGAAAGCAGGAGATAACAGGTATATTTCGGATGACTGGAGAACAGATTTGAGAGACTCCCAACAATTTAGCTGAAGGATGTCAGTCTTAGTTGGATGAAGGTAACCCACAGATAGGGGACAAATGAATGTTTCTGAGGTTTAAAACATTGTTTAAAAACATTTACTGATTTCACTGAAAAATGAATTGTATCTTTTTACCATATGCAGCATGTTTTAGAGTGTATGTGTATACACACACATACATACACATATATATGGTGAAACAACTAAATCTAGCTACTTAACACTTATCATTTCATATAATGAATATTTTTGTGCTTAAAACATACTGTATCCATTCTACTAGCACATCTCAAAATACATTAAATATATGTACTGTTATACAGAACTCTTGACCTTCTTGTGCCTATGCTACTAAAAGTTTGTAGTCTTTGACTAATATTCATTTATTCATTCATGGACATTGAAATTGATTCCATCCATATCTTGGCTATTGCAAATAATGCTGAAATGAACAGAGATTGCAACAGACTGATTTGATGTCCTTTGTCTATATTTAGTAGTGGGACTGCTGGACTCTACACAGCCATTCTATTTTTTAAAAATATATATTTTTTATTTCAAAAAATTTTGGGGTTGGAGAGGTGGCTCAGCAGTTAAGAACACTGTTCTTGCAGGAGACCTGGGTTCGAATCCCAGCACCCACATGGCAGCTAACAACTGTCCGTAATTCCAGTTCCAGGGGATCTGACAGCCTCTTCTGTCCTCCGCAGGCATTGCACAACATGGGTGCACTCACCTACATGCAGGCAATACACGCATATACATAAAAATGATAAAATATTTAAAAAATTTTTATGTGTATGAGTGTATTGCCTGCATGTATGCTAGTGCACCTGTTGTCATGTAATGCCCTTACATGACAGAAGAGGGCATCAGATCCCCTAGAACTGGAGTTATGGACGGTTGTTAGCTGCCATGTGGGTGCTGGGAACCAAACACAGGGCCTCTGCAAGAGCAGTTGGTGCTCTTAACTGCTGAGCCATCTTTCCAGCCCCCAGCCATTCTATTTTCAATGCTTTGAGGTTTTTCTATTCTATTATCCTTAAGTTTCCTTATAGGAAGCTACTGCCTACTGGTTTTCAAATGGACAAATCTCAATGAAAGATAACAGCATACAAAGAGGTAAGGAATCATTATATAAGAGAACAAAGAGCACTAGAGACTGATCATCAGGAAACCAAGATTTATGAATTGCCTAAATAATGAAAAACAACCATTTTAAAAGATGCTCAATGAGCTAAATGCAAATACAAAAAAAAAAAACCCTGAATGAAATGAGAAATGAAATGAAAATAATATAAACCAAAAATAAACACTGTAAGTGAAAATAAGCAGTAATTGTACAGGTGATCAATTCAATACGAAATAATGGCAGAAAACCCAGAAACATGATGAAGGAAACAGACACTAAAATCCAAGAAACCCAATTATCAACAGCAAAGTGAAAGTCAGGCAAAATGAGACATATTATAACTAAAGCCTTGCAAGTCACAGACAGAGAATCCTGACAGTAGCAATAGAAAATGTTGTTTCCTGGGCCAGTAAGATGGCAAAGGGGATAAAGTAGTTTGCACACAGACCTGATGACCTGAGTTCCATCCCTGGATCCCACAAGGTGTCAGGAGATACCAATTCCCAAGAGCTGTCCACTGACTGCTAAGTGCATGTGCACACACACACATGCACAAAAATGTAACAAAAAGTTAAAAAGAATCTCTCATAAACAGCATATAATTGAAAAATTTTTACATTAAACTGACAATTTCAAGACCATATAAAAATCCTTTTTCTTCACATCTCCCCTCAATGTTGTTATTGACATAACAATTTTATTTAACATAACCATTAACAAAAGGTTATGGTTGTTAGAGTCCAGGTCTGCAGATGATCCCCAGTGCAATAAAGCCTCACAAGACAGGTCATGAGGGCCCCCTTGCAAAACAGGAACTGGCCAGGCAGCTGCATTTAGAGCTGTCTCAGCACAAAGCTATTCCCCAGATAATTTTAGAAGATAAACAGGCCCCTGTACCCCAGACCCACTGATGTAAGAGCTGTCTCAGTACAAAGCTGCTTCCCCTGAAACTGTAAAGATTATTTTTGCCACCTTCCACAGTCCCCAACCCCCTATAAGAACTTCCTCAGCAGTCAGCAGGCAGCTAGTTGCTTTCTCTCCCCAACTGAACTGCCAGCCACCAGCAATCCTAAGAAATAAACTTTGCTTTGCCGGAGTCCTCCTGTGTTTCCTGTGGCTATTCCCTGCCCGGCTTTTATCTAACAATGGTGATTGTTATATTTTTTTCAAATTCAGGCAATACACTCATAAAATAAAATTTAAAAATGAAATATTTTTAAAAAGAAAGAAAATGCATTCTCATCTGTCTGTTGGGAGATATTTCAAGAAATAACATATAATTGATGTATTCCCTATTCTGGAATAATTCCATATTCTGTTACAAAATTAAAAATGTTTTATGGCAGGTAGCCATAGTTAAATTATGCAAAATATACTTTAAGACAAAAACAACCATTTGATATGAAGTACAGTTTAAGTGAAAACCTTCAACAAGAGAAAATGCAAAAAAATTTTTTTTGGTCTTTTTGAGACAGGGTCTCCCTGTAGCCCCAGCTGGCCTGGAACTCACTATGTAGACCAGGTTGGCCTTGAACCCAGAGATCCGCCTGCCTCTGCCTCCAGAGTGCTAGGACTAAAGGCGTGTGCCACCATGCCCAGCTTTTTATTTGTTTGTTTATTTATTTATTTATTTATTTATTTATATTTTTATGTGTATGAGTATATTGCCTGTTTGTGTGTAAGTGCACCCATGTTGTGCAGTGCCTGCAGAGGTCAGATGAGGTGTCAGATCCTCTGGAACTGGAGTTATGGATGGTTGTTAGCTGCCATGTGGGGGCTGGGAAGAGCCTAGACCCTCTGCAAGAGCAGTCAGTGCCCTTAACCACTAAGCCATCTCTCCACCCTCCAAAATATTTTATTTTTTATTTTTATTTTATGTGTATGAGTGTCCTGCCTGCATGTATGTAAGTGCACCTGTGTCATTCAATGTCTGCAGAGGTCAGAAGAGGGTATTGAATCCCCAAAACTGAACTTATAGATGGTTGTTAGATACCATATGGGTGCTAGGAACTGAACCTGGGTCCTCTCCAAGAGCAGCCAGTGCTCTTAACCATTGTGTCATGTCTCCAGCCCTGAGAATGCATTTTCAATTTACAAATTCTGAGCTCCACTTCTAGTATAAAATCAAAACTGAATCAGAAGCTTGGAATGATGGTACATTGTATTCCCAGCACTTTGGAGGTAGAGCCTGGGACCCTGTCTCAAAATTCAACAAAACAAAACAAGGCTGGACATGGTGGCACACACCTTTAGTCCTAGTACTAAGGAAGCAGAGGTAGGCAGATCTCTGCAAGTTAGAGGCCAGCCTGGTATAGTGAATTCTAGGCCACCCAGAGTTACATAGTAAGATCCTATCACAAACAAACAAACACACAAAACAACCAAAAGCAACAACACCAACAAACAACCTCCCAAACTAATCAAACAAAACAACAATAGCTACAAAAATAGCTAAGGGGGTAGAAACTGGACTTCAAGATGTAGGCCACAATATTTTAGGACATGGGATTCCTATAATTACCATTTATCTAAATTTAGGGTGTATATTACCTAAAGAAAGAGGAGGGGGATAAAGACAAGAAGAAACAGGAACACTTTCTTCTCTATGCCAACAATTCCCCAATTTGGTCCTCTAAAGTAGGAATCATACAAATCATACTCATTCATGCAAAGCTCCCAAGAGATTTTCTTCAAAGGAAAGAAACTGTATGTTGGCAGTGCATTAGAAGATCTGTAGAGATGTTATCCTCACCCAAAGAGACAAAGTTTCTGTAGTTCTCTATCATCACATCCCAATATAAATTCTGCTGAGCAGGGTTCAGGTATTCCCACTCCTCTGGAGAGAAATCAATGGCTACGTCCCCAAATGTCAACATATCCTGAAAAAAAAAAGTAATAAATAAATAAATAGCATATTGACCATATAGTTATTGACAAAGTTGTTAGTGTACCCCAACATGAAATGAGAATTAGGAAAATAGGTTCTGGTACAAGTGAGTGAACTTAATTATTTAGTTCAGATATTTTAAAACATAGCTATCATTTGCTAAAGAATTATCTGAGTAAAGATGACATAAGATTCACAAAACTAATGTACACACTACACTTTTATGAGATAAAATACAAAATTAAAAATTAATGCAAGAATAAGCATTTTCAGTGTTATTTGTACATCACATAAGATTATCTGTGTATATTTCTCAGATGAGAAAGTCATGGTGAGTTAGAAGGGTTCCTCTCAAAACAATCCTGTGTAGAGCCACAACTTGGAGGACTGATTAAAGTGCTGTTTTTAGTTCAGGAATTCTCAGCTGGGGACTTGGTTTCTGAGTATGTAGCAAGCTCACTATCAATGTCTGATGGATATTCTTGAACAGCAATGAGGGAGAATACCAAGGGAAGAATTCATCAATGAACTTGAACTGAAATTGTTGTAAGGAACTTGTACATTTTCTTATAATAGCAACAACAATCTTTTTTGGTGATTTAAAATGTACCAGATGCTACTGTGACACTTTCATGTTAGTGCATAACATCCTTGAATAAACTACAGAGAAGTATTATTTTTCCTTTTGCATTACAAAACGTTGTCAAATATCCCGTAAATGGTAGAACCCAGGTTCTATCCAAATCTACCTGACCTTGAATTCACATATGGGAACATAAGGGCCAAAATAAAGTATGAATGCTAAAATACCATTCAAAGCAGCTTTTATATGAAGGTAGCAAAGCAAAATTGATCAAATAACATTTGTATTTTATACATACATATAAATGGTAATTATATATTCAGAATAGACCTTAGGTGGGGATGTAGTTCAGGGGTACAGGTTTTTGTATAATCTATACAAGAGTCTGGATTTTGCCTAAACAGGGAGAAAAAGAGAGAACAACAAAAGAAGAAATCTTCCATGTTAATCAAAGTAAGAAATCTGTCCAATTGTGTAAAACTGATGAATATATTTGGAAATGATGATGTTGAGGATTTAAAAATAAGAACACTGGCTGCTCTGGCAGAGGACCTGGGTTCAATTCCCAGCACCCATATGACAGCTAACAGTTGTCCATAATTCCAGTTCCAGGGGAATCCTATACTCTCTACTGACCTCTGTGGGCAGTGTACTACATGAGTATACTTACATACATGCAGGCAATACACTCATACATATAAAATAAAAACAATAAAATAAAAATAATGCTACTATTTTGACACACATTTAAGGACAAAAATTAAGGGCTGTAGTTTTCTATTTTTCCCATTTTTTCTTTTCATTTATCATTTGTTTTAAAGCATAATGTCTAATTTTAACACACTCAGAAATATATTTCTTGGTTTTTTTGTGGAAAATGCAAGGAAGTAATAAAATATGTGTTTGTGATACAGAGGTAGAATAAAATGAGCATCTACAGTGGTAATGGTCTGCCTATTTCAGAAGTCAAGTAATAAAGTCAGTATCTCCAGTCAAAAAGTGAGATCCTTCACTCTCCAAAGCAAATTGTAAACAAAGAGAAATTTAAGCAACAGGTTTCTGTATCAAACATGAGTATTTAATCATGTTATGATGAAGAGAAAAACAATGTATAGAGAAGAACCTGACAGGCAGCACTTTAAGTGAGTGACATAAAATCAGCTGTAACAGGACAAGTTACTATCAGTTGTTACTGTACAAAGGATATATCATCATTGCTGTGACATCAGTAGCCCAAATAAATAAAATCAAAAGCATATTCTAATCTACTCCTGAGAAGACATCAGTTTTACATAAACTTTAATCTGCATATGTATCCTATGGTTTGTAACTGCCAATAGTGTGTTAAACATTCATTAGCATTCTAAAGAACGGATCTCTTCTATTATTTATTCAGAGTTGTTTATGTTATCCTGGGCAATGACTTCCATTCTCTAGTGTGCATCTTATGAACTCTTGTATACTGACAACTGGAGCAGCATCCCAATAGGATACAAACACTGCATGTTTGCTTCTTCAGTAACACCTACAGATACAACCCCATGCCAGAAATCTAGAGCACCATGCTCATCTGTAAAAAAAAGAAAATATTTTTCAGTATTTCATACTACTAATTCATGGTAAGAACTGCTTATGGTATAACACAACAACAACACTAAACTGAAAGAACAAAGGAAAGCCTGTTAATGTAGAGAGATGGCTCATCAGTTAAGAGCATTTGCTGCTCTTACAGAGCACCTTGGGTTCTGTTCTCAGAACCCACATGGTGGCTCACAAACGCCTATAACCCAGTTCCAGAGGATCAGACACCCTCTTCTGGTCTCTTTGGACACTGCATACGTGTGCACTTATATACACGCAGGCAAAAACATACACATTAAAAAGTACAACTAAATAGGGATATGAAAAGTAGAAAAGCAAAGGTTTACAAGTTCTAAATATGAAGCTCTTTTGAAGCTAAATAAATGGACATAGCCCCTGGTCTGGAACATTTTTTACTTGAGAACCAGTAACCTTTTGCCTTCCTTCTCTAGGATTCTTTATCAGGAGAAATAATCTCCACAATTTAAACCTGTACCTTGAAAATCTGCCTGTGAAGGAATCAAAACATATGAGGCTTCAAGGGCCTTCTTTGGGGCTTGAGAGATGGCTTAGCAGTTAAGAGCACATACTGTTCTTATAGAGGTCCCGAGCAGTTTCTAGCACTCACATCAAGTGGCTTACAAGTGCCTGTAACTCAAGCTCCAGGGAACCCAATGCCCTCTTCTGGCCTCCATAGGCACTGCACTCAAATGCACATACACAGATATAAGTACACACATACACATATAACCAAAAAAATAAATAAAAATTTAAAGGGTCTTCTTTTGTAGGCTCAAGATTGGTCTTAGCTCGAAGTCAGAGGCCTCAGGTTCTCTCCTTTCCAATTTTATCCAGACAGTTTTAAATGAAAGTATTCAGCAGTAAAATAATCTAGTAAAAATATCCAACTCAGCTGGGAAAGGTGGCACATGCCTTTAATCCAAGCAATTAGCAGGCAGAGGCAGGTGGATCTCTCTGAGATCCAGGCTACCCTGGTTTACATAGTAAGTTCCAGGCCAGTGACCCTGTCTCCAAAAA